GTTAAAGCAGGCTGTTCCTTGGAGGCAAGGATTCTGAAGCTTTGTCTGACATATTTTGGACATGTTGTAAGCAGGGACCAGTCCTTGGAGAAGGACGTCATACTTGGGGTAATGAGGGTAGGTGGTTTGGAGACAGTGAGATTGGTACAGGACAGAGCAGGGTTTAGGGCTGTTGTACATAGGGTCCCTATGAGTAGCAGGCAACTCGATGGCACATAACAACAAGAACAACAAACAACAACAATAACAACAATTTTTCAGAAGGGGACTGTTGCCAAGTTTTTCTTCTGAGGCACTTCTGAGTAGTCTCAAACCTCTGATCTTTCAGTTAGCAGCAAAGCAGGTTAACTACTAAGACATAACCACTTTGGCTCTGAACTCAGATCCATTCCAGGTGCCCAAGCAATGGGTTGTAGGAAAGCAAGCCATCAACTTTTCAAAGTAGAGAGTCAGACATTCTCTTCAGAAAGCAAATTTCTTTCAAGTTCAGCTGGATCTTGAAGAAATTCTATGAGCCTTGGAATTGCTAGTGCTAAGAAATCAAACACGCCCTGGAAAGGCTGGTTGGAATTTACATTCTTTCCAGCCAAGTGACTACAAGAATTTCCGCAGGAGAAGGATGATCAATCTCCGCCCATGCAATTTACTGCCTCTGAAAACCCACCAAGGGTCAGCTACGAGCCAGTTCCGACTCAATGGCACAGACGACAATGACAACAACAATGGAATTTCACATTCTATAGCCCAGCTCCGGGGTCTCTGGGTGGTGTTAATGACAATGGGCTTGGACGGTAACCAAGATACCGGAGTTCGAGTGCACTCGGAGGTGCCTCAGAAGAAAGGCTTGCTAATCCACTTCTACACAGTCAGTCGTTAAGTCTGATGGAGCACGGTTCTACTCTGATGTGCACGAGGTTGCCGTGACAGAGAGCTGACAGGACAGCAACTGGTTATCATGACCTGTGCTCTGTGACAGGGAAGAGAAGGGTCACAAGGCCACCTATTCTCTGATACAGAAAAGGTCTCTCCAGGCAGAACGACATGTAAGATATGAGCAGCAACCAGTCTGTAGGTGAATTGTGAATATCTGATGAAGGGATGGAGAGCTACGTTATGTCTGCTGCTGGTAGGTACCGACGAGCTGACGAGTCATGGCGATCCTGCCAACAACAGACCTGAACCAAGCCCAACGCTTGGACCCTTCCTCACTTTTTCTTAACCCCTACCTTTCCCAGCTTGATATCCTTTTCCAGGCTGGTTCTTCCTGACGACATGCGCAGAGTACGTGAGAGGAAATGTCACCTTTGTCTCTAGGAGCACCCTGGTTGAACATCCACCAACACAGGATTGTTTGCTCTTTTGGCAGTCCATAGGATAGTCAGTAATCCTCTCCAACATCACAACTCAAAGGCATTGATTCTTCTCCGATGATCCTTATTCACCGTCCTAACTTTAGACGCATAGGAAACAAATGGAAAGACCCATGGCGTGGCTCAGTATTAGTATTTCAATTGAAATCACTGCTCTTTAGCATTTTGGAGATTTTCTTGAGAGCTTTATTTCCCGAATGTAATGTGTTTTCATTCCTTCAGCTGCTGACTCCATAGGTTTTGGTTGTAGATACAAGTAAAAGGAAATAATTGGAACAAAAGGAAATAACTAATAACTTCGATCTACTCTTCACCTGTCTTGATGTTCTCTATTGGTCCAGTGCTGAGGATTTTTGTTTTCCTGACATTGAGATGTAATCCATATTGAAGGTGGTAGTCTGTGATCTTCTGCAGCAAATGTTTCAAGTCCTCTTCAGCGTCTGCAAGTTAGGCTGTGTCATCTGCACAGTGCTTTATGCCTGAGACTTTGCAGCAGACCAATGTAACAGGGGCTCTTCTGGGAAGAGTCCTCGTTTCATAGATTGCTCTCATTTCGGGTTAGCTAATTTACTAAATGTGTAATTACTATTTTATTTTTGTACCTTTGCACGCCTGTTCATTGGGGTAATGACACAATTCAGAATCAAATTCTTTGAGCACATTTTATGTCTGAAAAAAACATCATCACTGAGCTATTCCCTGTTAAAAGGCAGAAAACAAGGAACTAGATTAGGGATTCCAACGAATAAGATTCAAATCTGTGGATTGGTGAAAACGTCACTAACTCAATTTTATGTTTATGGTTCTTAATCAAGAAGTCAATGGAAAATGAATGAGCACCTAAACACACCTAACATTTGGGGCTTAATGGGAAAAAAAAAGAGTTAGGAATAATTTCTCTTTGTGAATTGTCAGGATCTTTATCTTCTATCGAGATTAGGCAAAGGCTGGGGGCCAGATCTTGAACTAGAGATGAACTTCAGATCTAAGTTTGATTGTGCAGCATGTGACCTAACAAGGTTATCTAGACTCGTTCCTCAAAGACCCAGGAACAGTAATGCACCAGATATTCCAGCGCTAGATACACTGATCATCATCAGAATAGTAGGCTCTGCTTTGAATGTCAGAAAAAAGAACATCAGGGAAATATAGACTAGCATTCCAGCTGCATGGCCATCTGCCTCTCCCAGCCTCCCACACCGTTCCTGCTTTGGACTAATCAGCTCTTTCTGCATCAGTAGTTTGGTTCAGTGTGCCTCAAATGCCAAGCTCCCTTACCATTTCCAATCTCACAGCCCAGGTAATTTCATTTTGCCTTCTTTCTTTCTAGACTTCTCTCCCTTTTGAACTCCCTGGTCTCACTGGCAGATCTCACTGCCCAGCAGCACCTGTGCAGCTGTTTAGTTACCAATACCACTGGAAGGAAGAAAACAGCCCCCGCAGCCAAGGACTGCCATACCAATTTATGGTTCGTAACGGTGGTTCATCCCGACATCTGCTGGGATAGGCCTGATACTAATTAGCAGACAAGCACATTGTGTCCATGTGCTGGCCGTTTTGTTCCCAATGTAATGGTTTACTTGTGTAATTGACAGCTAATGTTCTCATTAGAAGCTTTCAGTACATCAGAGCGATATGTGCTTGGCTTGAAAAAAAAAAGTTTCTGGACATTAGCTGGTTGTACAAATTGGCCATATCTTTACTGATTTAAATTTAATGAACACTCACTTGAGTGCCCATTCTGTACAAGGCTTTGGGCACACATGTTTAGAAAACTGAGGGGCCTCTGGGCTAATATGACCAGTACTGGAATCTCTGCTCATCATTTAACTATGATGTGCCCTTAGG